TGTGCAACAGCAGGGATATCTCGGATTTGAAGGGAGTACGAGAAGAGATTTCGCGAAGCTGGGTGGGCAGGCAATTAAAGTAATGAAGGGCCTTGTACAGGGGAGAATGGAGACAGCGGTCAGTCCGTGGAGTTGGCAAGTGCCAAGTACGAGAGCGACGTAAATTATACGAAGGTTGCACGTTGCTAGCAGTATGCTGCGAGAGTATATGTGGTGGGGCATAATTGTGGCGCAGAGAATGCGCGAAGAGTATATGTTTAACTTTAAAGCGTGAAAATAATGTTGGCCATTTGATGCGATGCAAAAGGTGGGAGTGTTCTAAGTGTGTGTAAAGAGGAAGGTGGAGACATATTCTGGCGGCTTTCCGCTGGAGTCGTTCTAGCCTGTCAAGGGAAGTGTGGGACAACGGTGTGAGAGCATTGCTCGCATATGAGAATATAGGTAGTATGTATGTCTGATAGATGTGAGATAAAGAATCACTGGTGAGTGTAGACCTTAGTCTAAAAAGAATATTGAAAGACTTGAGTGATTTTTTGACTATGTATTCAACATGCTCCGTCCAACGGAGGTCATGCTGAAAGATTATTCCGAGGTGTTTGTGTTTTTGTGCTACGGTAAGCGGACTATTCCTGAGGGTGATCTGGGGTAGCTGTTCGGGGGGGGGGGCGGTTATTGTGGTAGAACGGGAGGATGACTGTTTTCTTTGTGTTAACCAGCAGGTGCCATCTTTGAAGCCAGTCTCCAGCTGCTGTGACACTCTGTTGTAGGTTTCGGGTACAGTCTTGAAGTGTTCTCGCTATGGAAATCAGAGCGGTGTCATCTGCAAACTGGCTACAGGTGGTGCTGGGATTCTCACATGCGTGTGGAAGGTCTATGGTGTAGACGAGGAATAGAAGCGGCCCAAGAACAGATCCCTGAGGGACGCCGGCAGGGATCTCGAGGAAAGGCGATAGGTCGCCATCCACCTGGACCCTTTGCCGACGCCCCAACAGGTACCGTCGGAACCACTCCAGGGCGGTGCCCTGTTTGTTGTTGTTGTTGTTGTTGTTGTTGTTGTTGTTGTTGTTGTTGTTGTTGTTGTTGTTGTTGTTGTTGTTGTTGTTGTTGTTGTTGTTGTTGTTGTTGTTGTTTTGAATTCATTATTCTCACGATGGCACCATCGTCAATAAGAGATAAGTTTATGAAACGGTGCGATGCTGTGGGTGGGGCTGTGGGTTATGCAGTTGGAAAGTGATTTACATCACTTTGAATTTTACAAGTATATGAGAGGGTGAGCGCTGCAGGAGAAGATTGAGTTAATCAGCAGTGAGCAGATTTCTTGTTTGAAAGCAGGTCTTGAGAAGACGTCACGAATGCGCGCAGGGAGGGCATTGTAGTATTCTAGGGACTTGTACAGTGGGGAGTCTTTACAGCGATCGGTTCTGGAGGGAGCGAGTTGCCAAATGCGTGCATGTCGAAGGCTATACTGGGTCGTAACTTGAGCGGGGATGTTGAGCATGCGTATGTGTTGTGGGGCATATTGGTATTTTATGGAGTGTGCAAGAAGGGTGAGCTTCACTTTGGGGCGAGAGAACATTGTTGGCCATTTGAGCCGATGGAGAAGTGTTGAATGATTCAGAGGAGTGTACAGTCCATTCAGAAAAAGATGAGCACTATCTCTGGAGAGCTCCTCTGTTTGGTGATTTTGCCAGCGCCGCGAGATTCGAAACTTGGAAAAGGGTCCAAAAAAGGCACCTCAATTGGGGTGTGAACCGCTAATGCACTGCTCTGCAAGTGGAGTGCACGGGTTTGATTTCCATGGCTTTTCCCCAATTCAGTGCTTTGGGGCAAAACCTGGCTGAAATCCTATTCTTGTTATGGCTTGCATGGTACAGCCTCTTTTACGGGCAAAATTAACACAATGAATATATTTTCCCAAGTGTTCCTAAAACTTCAACTCAAAGTTCTAGGAAGAAAAAACAAACAAAAACACGCTACATCGATGATTGCCTGGTAGTACGGTGTCATGGTCTTGTCAAGTTGATGGAGCTCGTGCAGTACTTGAGCAGCAGACACCTGACATACGCTTCATAGTGGAACACACCCAGCAGAATGTCTCGCACACAGTCAGCTACCTAGACTTGTCTATCTCTGTGACGAGTGGTGTAACGTGGTGTTGTGCAGTGGGAGTTTTTCGTTAAGCCCAGTCATAGTGGTGTCCATCTATCGTACGAGTCTTCATTGCCAGTGGCGGTGGGACATTCGGTTGCCCAGGAGAAGTTTCGGCGCGCAAACAGCAACGCGTCAACCGGCAGGGGGAGGGAGCGGGGAGAGAAGAAGATCGAGACATTACTACGAGACAACGACTGCCCACAACACGCTATTCAAGCAGCCAAGCAAAATGCAAGCACACCGAGACCATCATCCACCAGACAATGACAACAATCGTACACATCCATCATCAAACTGCCCTTCGTCACGTCTATGATCGTTTGGCACGTGATGTTCGTCGTACGGTGAGGTCTTTCAGTAAGGATGTGCGTGTGGTGTTCCAGTCCGGTCGGTCACTAAGGGACATGTTGGTATCGTCATCATTGTCCCGTTCTGAATGCCGGAAGGAAGTGTATCAGAAGAGAAGAGGGAGGGGCGACCAGTTGAATGTCGTGCCTGTGATGCTGGTATGGAGAGTGGTCAATGTTTGTCTCAGGATGTTATATACTCGATGTTATGTGCACTTTGTGCCGAAGAGTAAGTTGGCGAGACCGACCGAACTGCAAGAAAGAGATTTGAGGAGCATTGCAGAGAGGCCAAAGCAAGCGCTGGAGACACCATGGGCAGAACACTATGCAGAACACCACCCACAACAATCAATCACATCTACACCCATCACGAACTCTTGTGCAAGATCTGTTCGAACTTGGCATCTGCGACACGGCACTCTGTTGGCTGGTGGATTACCTTTCTGATAGAGAACAGTACGTTCAGGTTGGCCAAACTAGAAGTCTCCCGTACACCAGTTACTCAGGAGTCCCCCAGGGGTCGGTACTGGGCCCACTGCTATTTATTGTCTATGCCCGCGGCATAGCAGAAGAACTATTGCCGTTTAATGTGTAAGCAATCCAGTTTGCTGATGACATCTCTATATGATCTAGCAGGGAGTCTGCGGAAGCCTTTTCTGCACACTTTTCAGCTGCTGTTCAGCACCTGGCCACTTGCCTGAAGGGCCGAGGTTTAATTCTTAATGAAAAAAAGACACAGATATTCCGTATTCCCCCATCCCCATCTCAAGCACTTGAGCTGGATTTTTGTAATGGGCAGACGCTGCCTGTTGTGAAAACGGCCAAGTATCTTGGCCTACATTCCGACTCAGTCATAGCCTGGAACACCATGGCAGTGTGGCAACACCATGGCAAGCCATGTTGCACGCCGCGTTGCCGCTAAGATTGGGCTACTAAATCGAAGTGCAGCATGTTTGCCTTTTTCTTGCCGCGTTCAGTTTCAGGTCCTTTATTATTATTATCAGAATTTGACTATGCCTCTGCTGCATATGCCCCTTTCTTATCGTCTTATCAGGCTAAGCGCCTAAATAGTTTGTTCAAACGTGCGGCTCGCTCCGTGTGCAGGGCAGCCCCTCGCACTCACACGGCTCCCTTACTTGAACGCATGAATGCCCATATCCTCAGCATATACACCCAATTGCACATTATTGTATTCATTTAGCGCTACCTGAACAAATTTTCAAGTACTCTGTTTGCAAGCTTTTTCACCCGTAGTCCCTCTCTCCGAACACGAGGAGGGAGCAGCAAGCTACTCATCATTCCTGTGTCTCCCACTGCATCCTCAGCTAGGCGCATCATCAGTAGCCATGCTGGAGCTATCCTGTGGAACCAGCTCCCAGACACAGCACGCCTCCAAAGAAAGCGCACCACTTTCAAATCGCTAAGCCTGGCCTTTCTGTTAGGCAGTACCGTCAACTAGGATGAACTCATCTACTTCACTCTCTCTCTCTCTCTCTATCTATTTATCTCTATCTCCCTCTCTCTCTCACTCGCACTCGCACTAACACATATTCACAATTATAGACACAGCTCTCCACTTGTCTCCTTCGCGCCTTCCCTTTCTACCAACACACTTCACCATTGCTGCTGGTCACCACACTTCTCGTGCTTTCCCTTCCTTTTTCCCGACACCTTTCACCATTGCTTCTACCCTCCACACATATAAACATTTCCAGCACTACCGCACCACACAGCATATCTACTTGTTTCAAGTTTTTGTTGGCTTTAGTTGAATGGTTTTTCACCTTGAAGATGGGCCATGCCCGAAAATTTGGTGCATTCAATTTATATCTAATACCATAAAGTACTGTTGATCCGCCTCCTCTCTAATTCCCGCCCAATGTCGATTTTCTACCTGTGAAGCGACTTCGGCGTATACAACGAAATACGATGTTGAAGCGACGCTTGCACTGCTGTACACTATACTTTCCAGTCCAGGATGAAAATGTGCACAATCCAGCACATCGAGTCTGAATTTCTACGTTGTTGTACATCGTACTGCACTTGACAGCCTTGACCTAATTCCCGCCCCCTGCCGAAAACCCAGCTGGGAAGCGACATAGCTTGGGGGCGGATCAACCGTACTTTACGGTATATACAAGTATAAATAACATCATCGGAGCAAGGATGCGGCTAGCGAACGAAGTCAAGAAATTTAAGTTGATGTGGTTTGGCCATGCTACGAGACTTGACGTTTTCTCCAAGACTTTCCTGCAAGGATCAACTCCTGGATCTCGACCGAGAGGAAGGCCCGCGACATCATGGATTTCTAACATTAAAAGTTGGACGGGTCTTCCCTTGCATGTTCTCTCATGCGGCACACGATAGAGTTGGATTCAGAGACAGCATTCACAATTCTCTCGCTGAATAATGCCCCTACGATCACCTTTTAAGAGTTATACATACATACGTACATACATACATACATACATACATACTTGTACCTACTAAACACCCCCATTCATCACACACTGACTGAGAGCCTCGGCCAGTGTATATTCACTGTATTTTCTAGAAAAAATACTGGAAATATACACCAGTGCAAAGAAATAAATACTGTTAATATACACCATAGGGGAGAAATACATACTGTTAATATACACTGCTTTTTAGGCTTCAAACTGGGGTAGCTATAAGTCGGATTAACCCTGAGCTGGAGTGTATATGGAAAATATATACCATTATACAAACTGAGGCCAAAAACTACACATATTATGGTTCTGGGGAAGTGAAGTGAACGTATGCAGCGAAGAGACCGTAGTTGGAGAGTTTGAAGTGAGGTACCTTCTAATGTGTGAGTGGCTGCAATGGAGTCTGCGAGTGCCTAGAAAAAGTTTAACCTGTACTCAAAATAAGACATTAGTCATTGTTTAAAAAAACAATTGATAGTGTAAAATAGCAACACAAGGAATGCGCGAGAGGCAGGCAACATTACGTTATATGGAAAAGAACATGGTCTGAAAAATATATATTAAAAGCTGGATGCAACGCAATACATGTATCTGAAGAGCGATTGGAAGACGGAAGGTTAAAAAAAACATTTTTTAAAGTAAGACTGGAAGAGGATTGTTCAGAAAATTATTATTTTGGACAATTGTTAACGAACAACACGTTAGTGGTAAGTTCGACTGTCAATGTGCACGCTATCTGTCAGGTGAACATTCAGGAAAAAAAGGAGTGACAATATTATTGTAGCAAGCATGTATGAAACGCACGTAGAAGAGATTCAGGAAACAAGAAAGCATGGTATTGTTATACGATGGCAGAAAGGGCGTGGGCGTATAGGAAACAAAAACAGAAACAGATCTACGGGGATATTGGGATACGGGGATACGGGGATACAGCGTAGTTACAGTGTACGTTTGCAAGTATCATTCCAGAAGGGAAGTTAATTTTAAACGATCACTCTCATAACCACATGCCACTCTACAATGTGTCATCCTGAAAGTTATCTTTCTACACAACACTCTCTTTTGATCCAACAGCGAGTGTTTTATCCTGGATGGTGGCTGGCAGGTTCGCTGCCTTTTTTGAGGCTCTCCTCTGCAAGCTCAACCATGCTACCTCGGGTGTTGTCTGCTGTCCTGGCTTGGGCAGAGTCCCTTGATTTCCATCCACAATATGTCATGTCTTCTCCTGACAGTCGTTGTGTGCATTGGGGAATATTGTGATCACGTGATGACTGGACTGCATATTGTGATCACGTGACGACTGGACTGTAGCTTAGATGTCACTGACAGTACTGCCAGTGGACAAACGACCGAGGCTATGACTCAGCGATGGTGTCCTACCAGTGGACAAACATGCCTCATATATTTCCTCCTTAACATTTAGCTGTGAGTTCAACATGCAAGTGTTTGAGGTGTTGCTTCTGTCACTGACCATGGACAATCGAGGCGATGGTGCACTACAAGTGTTCACATAAGCCGCATATGTTTCCTCATTAACATTCATCTCTGAGTTCAGCATGCAAGTGTTTGAGGTGTTGCTTCTGTCACTGACAATGGGCAAACGATGCGATGGTGGGCTACAAGTGTTCACATAACCCTCATCCGTTCCCTCCTTAACATTCATCTCTGAGTTCAGCATGCAAGTGCTTGAGGTGTTGCTTCTGTCACTGACAATGGACAAACGATGCGATGGTGGGCTACAAGTGTTCAAATAAGCCCCATTTGTTTCCTCCTTAACATTCAACTCTGAGTACAGCATGCTAGCGTTGAAGTTGCTGCTCTCGTGTTCATTCTCTTCTACAACATTGAGCGAGCTGCCCAAATTGATTCCTTCAACACAAGTTTCTCGTCTGTTAGTTGTGAACGGGCTTGATGTGGAGTCTGCGTCAAAGGATTCTGGAGGAACACGAAGAGAAAAGCAATGTACAATCAAAATATGTTTTGGTCAAACAATACAACACCGCTTGACAAGAAACTTGAAGCGAGAGAGCTGCAAACTGGGAGGATCCGCTATGCTCTTGATTTACCAAGATCATCACTGATGTATTCAATACAGCTCCAGAATTCATACCTCATAACGCTTCATCCAAAAAAGTATAACTTCTTTCTCATCTTCTGCATCTATATCCCTTTCACTCTATCTCATGCACTCTCTCTGCTTCTGGATCTCTTTACCCTCTATCTCTTTCTCTTGGTCTCTGTCTGTATTTATCTCTGTTTGTCTCTTTGTCACTGCTTCTATAATTATATCTGTATGTATTTCTGGCCGTACGCCCGTCGGTTGAGCGAAATTCCGCTGATGATGTAGACATGGTGCAAGCTGGTGGAAGAGTATCCATCTTGCAGCTTCCACATAAAAAATCCCCGCCTTTTAGCTTTGGTACAGTGGTCACATTCTCTCTACCACTAAGCTATGGTGCAATGGTCACATTCTCTTTACCACTTAGCTATGGTGCAATGGTCACATTCTCTCTACCACTTAGCTATGGTGCAATGGTCACCTTCTCTTTACCGCTAAGCTATGATACAGTGGTCGACTTATCTTTACCACTAAGCTGCTATGGTACAATGGTCACCTTCTATCTACCACTAAGCTATGGTACAATGGCCACCCTCTCTCTATCACTACAGTCCATTCATCCAAAACAGTCCCGCTAGCTTTTGAAAGTCCGATTTGGGTGGAATTGAGGATCAAAAATCCACGAATCTGAGTTTGGGATCTGCTTCTCCATACATTTTGCCATGGAATACCTGTCCCAATTTTGTAAAACCTGGCTGTATTTCTATTTCCCAGGTCTTGGACCTTTCTTGCCTCGGATGTGGCAAGGAGTATATTGCAGGTGTCACACAATGCAGGATGTACTGTTGTTTTCACGATATCTACAACTATGTGCGGGAGATACAAACAAGTTAGGGTGACAGTTTCCAATGAATGGACTGTAGGCTACAGTACTGTCGTATCCATGCTGTTGACACGTTGCCTTTTAGGCATCTACGTGACAAGTCTTCCTTGCTTAGGTGTCTAATTATTTATCTATCTCCCGTAAACGGATTCATAATCGGCTTTATTTTATGTCTTCACACAAGGCCTGGAGCCTTCCTTATTGGGCATACCCTGTTGGCTCCCGCTCTTTATGCTGTAGTTTGCAATCGCATGCGGGGCCATCAATCTCGTGGCCATGGACTTCCATGGCCGCAAATAGATATTATTGCTATCGCCTTCCTTCTCTCTCTCTCTCTCTCTCTCTCTCTCTCTCTCTCTCTCCCTCTCTCCCTCTCCCTCTCTCCTCTCTCTCTCTCTCTCTCTCTCTCTCTCTCTCTCTCTCTCTCTCTCTCTCTCTCTCTCTCTCTCTCTCTCTCTCTCTCTGTCTCTCTCTCTCTCTCTCTGTCTCTCTGTCTCTCTCTCTCTCTCTCTCTCTCTCTCTCTCTCTCTCTCTCTCTCTCTCTCTCTCTCTCTCTCTCTCTCTCTCTCTCTCTCTCTCTCTCTCTCTCTCTCTCTCTCTGTCTCTCTCTCTGTCTCTCTCTCTCCCTCTATGTATCTAAGTATCTATGTATCTATCTATCCATCTATCCATCTATCCATCTATCCATCTATCCATCTCTCTCTCTCTCTCTCTCTCTCTCTCTCTCTCTCTCTCAACTTCAGTCTTTACGACAAGTCACGACTTCAATTTTTCTTGTTTTAAACTATCGTTTGATCATTATGTCTGACTGTAAGATGTGAGTCTCGATGTGAATGTATAGGCGTGTGTGTGTGTGTGTGTGTGTGTGTGTGTGTGTGTGTGCGTGCTTCTCTTGCGATGGGCGTATACATGGTACATGGTGTGTGTGTGTGTGTGTGTGCGTGTGTGTGTGTGTGTGTGTGTGTGCGTGCATACGTGTGTGTGTGTGTGTGTGTGTGTGTATGTGTGTTCCATATGGTGCAGTGGTATGTG